TAAGATATATATCCTGGCGGCAGAACATCAACATCTAATAAGAGATGAAAAAGGGCAGCAATGGTCAGTTAGAACAAGATGGTAGGAGAGAAGGGCATAATGTGAATAATCATGTGACTACAGAGCATACTTGTACGAGCACCGGAGCAGTATATAAAAAGTGTTGCATGTCTTGGATGTGAGTGGATACTTAGTCTACAGCAAATACTTTGTACCGTAGTAATCTAACGGCCAGAATCTAGACCATCTGAGTTTCCAAACGCCGCCCAATGCAAAGAAATGTAATATACATCAAAATATAATATACATCATACATCTCATCATTCTTTACATACCAACAGGCATAGCCTTTAGATGTCCATTTTTATCATATCTAGCCTCTGTTGAATGGGTTAATATAATACCCTCCTCACGTATTGCACCTTGGCTGAAAGAAGAACTTACTGAAGAACGTATAGCTCAAAGTAACTTGCTCAATTCCCCTCATGTTTGGATCATTAACAAAATCCGGATCAATATAAAAAAACACAGGCATGTCCACCGTTTCCCCGGCATTCAACCTTTGCTCCTCGAAACAAAAACATTGAATCTTGCTAAAATACGGAGCCACTTGTCCAGGCGTCACACTATAGGTAGCCACCCCAATTATATCCTCATCGGATTTATTCGTAGCGGTATAAAATGCCAATGCGGTTTCTCCCGGTAAAACTCGAACCTCTCTCTGTTGTGGTGTGAATTTCCAAGGTAGAACGTCCGACACGGATCCATTGAAGGTTACTCGTATACGTTTTGCGGAGGTGACGGGTCTGAGACGTTCGGAGGGATCTTCTCCTTCTACACCACTACCGCCGTGTCCAGGGGCTTTGATCGGTTGCCCACCCCATCCTGTAGTTTGGCAGATCTATAGGAATATATATTAGCGATAGAAGTAGTAAAGTGGCGTGGAAGGCAAGAAAATATACCATTTTATAAAATGGCACAGAACCATATGAGAAAGCCACAGTTCCAAGAATGATACTGAGTGTGTAGTACATGGTTGAACTATTCCTTTGCGAGAATGGGGCTCTCAATTGTTCCATGGTTGGCGCTACATTTCCTTGAGGTTTGGAATTATTGGAAAGATTTCGGTTTATGGAGGGTTTGAAGAATGGCGTGTTTATTCGTTTTGACTTTGCACATCCTGTGCATATCCAATTGGCATTTTTACTACCCAGAGCCCTTGATATCCGTGGTATAGAATTCATTATGAGATCTGAGACTTGTCTATTGACATAAAATTAAATGATTGACAAAAGATTATTGATTTCGGATCATTATGGATCATCATCGGTGTCTGGATATTTAGATAATCCGGGTCCGAAATCCGGGGAAATCTCTCGGTAACCTTATCGGGGAGGGAAGAGGGAGGGGGAGGGGAAGGTATCCATTAATGTTATATCATTTTGAAAAAAGATTATAAGATCTCACAATTCAGATCGATGACTGAAATTACCAAGTACACCGATGTCCAGCTTACCACCGAGTGACAAGAATTGTATGTACAATTCTCGAGTAATATTATATTGTAAATTGTCGAATCGTAGGTTCCTTCCTCTGCAAGTTGATTACAAAAGGAAGGAGGGGTAATCCAACAATGAACATATTAATATTTTTCAATGACATCAAGAACAACCCATCGTTGACATGAATTCAGACATGCCAAATGGTTCACAGTACAAAGAAATCATCTGATTATTTCCAGTTGATTTCTATAGAACCCCTTATCTCAACCCCGCAGAAGAACTAACGATGCTCCCATTAATACTTCGCCATATACTTGTCAGAAGTAGTGGCAGCACAAGATACACTTCAAACCTACTCCCTACGTGTGGAAAAACAAGTCAATTGGGAATCCCCTTCCCATTAAGAGTCCAAAGTCGCAATATGGCATTTAGGAAACCTAATTCATCACCTCTGCTCACGAAATGGTCTATTTCCCTCAAATGACCTCAGACCTTCCTGCTTCATCCCATGAATTCCGCAGAGTTCTCGTATGTATCTTAACTTTAATTTTCTCCTCCATGACACTATGCTCCTCTTACTATCATATATCACACATTCACAAACCAACAATCACTAACCCAAACCCACAGTACACAGGCCTCTACTCCCAAGTCGTCCTAATGAGCATTCCCGTCGGCGGTGACATTGGCGATGAAGTCCACACAGTCGACCAAGCACTAACTTTCACCTCCGGCATTGGTCTTGCCACCATCAACGGCAAAGACCAAGTCGTTAAAAAAGGCGACTTGATGGTGGTACCAGCAGGCACTCAACACCAATTTGTCAATACAGGGAAAGAACCACTAGTTCTATACACGATATATTCGCCAGCAGAACATGTACAGACTACGGTGCATCATACGAAGGAAGAGGGTGATGGAGGAGGAGGAAGGTAGAGATGAGGCACCGGCTTGGTCAAGGAAGAGTAAAGAGGATAACGAAAAAGAGGGATTGGTGAAGTTGAGTGGAAAATATGATTAATACTGGGGATGGGTAGGTCGAGGGTTCAATAATGATGTGTTACAAATATGACTAATGGTGAAGGAAAAGAGATGTGTTGACTGCGAAAATAATGGATGGTGATTAAGGGGAATGCGATCGGTTACTCATTTCCTAACGACGGCGGCATTAGGAACAAGGTCAGGACCACAACTGGCAAACCCATAATTGGTAAAATAATTTTTCTAATTCCATATACTTTTAATTTCACAGGTAATCCTACCAAGATTCCTCAGGTGTAGTAATATCCGATTTTCATCTAGAAGTAAAAGTGCCCCTCCCCCCAAACCACAACCAAGCTGTGACTCACACCCATCATCCATCCTCTGTCCACCCATCCACTCCAAACCTCAAATAAAAGCCAAATTCCCATCCTTGCCCAGCATCAAAACCTCGCAATCAATAAAACAAGCAAGTTGGCGCAGTGGAAGCGCGCCGGGCTCATAACCCGGAGGTCCCCAGATCGGTAAGCACAAGCAACTCACTACCCCAAATTCAACGCATCGATATCCATACTAACATCATACTCGATAGAAACTGGGACTTGCTATCAATGTATATTCTTTATTTTTTTTGGGTTTGGGGAGTTGGATAGGCTTTCGGCGATAATGGGGGAGAATGGAAAAGCTTCAGGAGGGTAGAGGGAGGTTTTGATTTTTGGAGGGGATGGGATGGGATGGGGATATGCTTGGTGATGATGGGATATGATGATTTGTTGTTACGTAATTTTTTAGGTTTTTTAAGATGGTGGGGGTTTGGAGGGGAAAAGGGGGAGAGGCGAGGAACGTGAGTAGGATATTGCTTGTCGAGTAGAAAAGGTGGAGGTTATATGTTCTGTTCGATATGAGTACTTTGTAGATGTTGTGCTTAGAACAATCGAGGGAGATACTTATATGGACCTCAAGGAGTTCGACAGTTCCTCTTTTCTAGTGGTCATTTTTGCCAGTCCCACTTCAATTTACTTCATAAAGAATGGTATTGAAGATATAGATGAGGATTAATCACAGCGTGAAGTGCACATAATGGCAGAGAGAGAATAAATCGAAAACTACTTTGCGAGTAACGGCAGTGACGTCCTAGAAACAAAAATCCACAATGAAAACGCCATATTAACGAGCATGAATCCTGGTTCTTGCAAAATCGTACCGTCGACATAGATATCAGTTCTGCTATAGGCGCAAACTTGCAACTCGAAGCGAAATACTACTCTCATTCCATCTCTGAAGGGGAATATAGGAAGACGAACGATGAAGGTTCCATACTTTTTAGGGTTTAAAAGTTCTTTGAAGGCGCAGTTATCTCAGTATGCAAGTTCCTTCCTGGTTACATCAAGCTCACGTTATGCTGCCTATCAGTAATAATATAATCTGCAGGGAGATTTCACGCAAGTGAGATCTTGAGGTTGAGACTCATACTTCGTCTTGCAAAAGTTAGCTTGGTTAGTTGATACGGTATGCGGATCTCTCGGATCAAGATGTCCCCGAAGCGGCCGAGATTATATGTTAGGGCTGGGCTGGGCAGCCTGACTAAAAAAAAGGGAAGTGACGGTAGGCAACCTGGCTTTGATATTGAGTGAAGAGCAGTGAGTGCATTCCGCTAGAGGAAAAGCTAGGGAAAGAAGGAACGGGATAATCGCTCATCTACAGTGAACATATTCTAAAAAGTTGGACTAAAGTAGGAAAATATGACCAAGGTAATTCATGAAAAGCGGTTACTCTCCTGCGATGACGCTGCACACACCACTGATTCATGGACAAAACAGGTAGAAGCATCTCGCGATCCAATTTGAGTGACCGCTTCAAACCCCTCATATGATAGACACACAATACAAGAAGGAAAACACCGGACCAATCATGAGAAGAAAACCATAGAACAAAATTGATATATTTGGATCGTAGTTCCATTACAGTAAGCAATAAGTAAAGTGGCCCGTCCAACACTATTGTCTTCTATTTATTTAAGTGAGACTATTTTTGGACGTGCAATATACGGTAACGAATCCTCTTGCAGAACATGCCCATTTGTTGGTGACGCTGGCGGTTCCAAAACACCTAAATATATAATCACGCATGGAATCTTTCCGCCGCACAAATAACCACCTGATTTGACAAAAGTTATGCTATTCCCGACCAATTCGTTCGTCTTCTATGTCCAGTATCCTGTTTCCTGCCCAGGATGTAGATGGGATCACCAAGATGGATTTTCCAGAACCTCCCGCATTCTACTAATTTCTAGTTCTGTCTTACCGAGCACAGACAATAATTTATTGGAGCCTCAAAATAGTCCTTGGCTGAACATTTTCTGATGGGTCCTAGTTCGAAGATCACCCCGGAGGATCGACAAGTCATCAATTTATGACCAGGATTTCATTCCTCCAGGTTGTGGAATCGTTGATGAGCTGGCATGGCAAATGCGGGCATCATCACACCACATACGTGACAGATCTCACGACTGCCTAACTCATCTTCATCCTCCCAAAGATCTTGCTCGTCTACTGTATCTTGCGAGATGTAGACTACATCCTCGGAGCCCGTAGTGGGATTAGAGATACGCTCTGTCTCAATAAGCTCACTTGAAGGTTTCTCACGCCTATTTGTAACGAAGTCAGGTGGAATATCACGGTCCTCAACTTTCCATTCTTTGAGAGTGGCTTCTTGTCGCTTGAACATAAGACCAATGTTTCTACCGCCTCCAGACCCATCTTCACTCGCGGCTTCAACCATATTGGTTACTCCGATGTTGACCAAACTTAGATTCCAATCTGATCTTTGCGGGTGCAATTTTCGGAACATGGGAATTAATGTATCTCGGATCAACCGCTCGACAATACTATCTATACCATCTTTCAAGTTGAAGACAAGATTTGGTAGAGGTCCAGATCTCGATATCCGGTTAAAGCTTCGTGTTCTTGTGCCATCTGCATTCAATGGAAGACGAGGCCTGGTAGACAGTCGTATTGTCTTGGGGTAAGCAATCCATCTTTTTGATGGTACATGGGATTCTTCATCGTCCTCAAGTAGGTCTTGATACATTCTATTTAGTAGACTGGTTGTAAGCATTCGAAGCTCTTCCATTAATCGAGGCATGTTATCGAGCTTGATATATGAATCCTCGATTGATATTTGGGAAGGCACCTTTCGAGCATCCTTTACATCCGTGTCATCGCCACCATTGATCAGTCCCCAAGCCTTACCTCCAATACCCCTCTCTGCCCCAGATCCCCCCAGAATTTTTTCCAATGTATCAGGACCCATGCCAGCAAAGAGACGCACGTCACGGACAGCAACAGATTCTTTCGTGCCACCATAAATTAGTCCACTTTCAAAGTCGGCCGGACGTGATAGAACATGGTTCCGAATACGTTGAGACATTTTGAATCCAATACCCGGTATTTTACCTATGTCATGACTATCAATGAATGTTGTGGCATTGCTTTGTAGTCCATCATCGTTGGGCAAAACTTCATAGGGCGGAAGAAGAGTTGTTTGTCCCTTTGGTTTGTGAAGGTTGCCTACCAATTTGCTTAAAAGTTTGTTCGTGGATATGCCAACAGTCGAAGTGTAGCCTTTTTCCTCTTCTAGACTCAATCTCAAATACTGGGCAAGGTGTGAACCCAAAATCAACCGGGTCAGTAATTCGGCATCACTATTCGGGGCCGCCGAATTCGATAGATATTGGGAGGATACTTCGTCGCCTGGCTGCAAGTCGGGGTAACCGTGACCAGCAACCCTCGTCGCATTAAAGATAAACCCCGCAGTAGGATCATTACGGTCCAGTTGAAGGAACGAGTGGGTCAAATCATTTGGATTGAGTAGTTTCTGGTTGTAGTCGACAATATCTGTGACGTCCATGAACACTTCATCGAATCCCAGTCGTTCAACTTTTCCCGACCAACTAAACTTTTCCAAATGTTTGTATAGCATTTTTGATGCATCTCGGAATCGGCCCAATTCTTCTCCCAAGACAATCACAACATCTGGACAGATTTTCTTGGCTTCACTGATTAATTGCAATTTACTAAGACCACGAAGCCGAGCTTCATAATTGCAAGTGACGATGATTTGTTTCTGAAGCCATGCTTAGAAGTTGCGATGTAACTATTTTGAATTGACTTTGGTAAATGAGGCTTACCTGCTGCACAGCCTTTTTTTTTTTCATTGCGTCAGCTATGTTTTGCAAATCAGAGAGAGGAATTCGGAGTTTACCAAGGGTAGTGATTTTAACGCAGGATTCTCATTCTCGAAGACAGACGCGTAAAAGCAGTCATAATCCTTAAACAACGGTTAGAAATAGATACTTTTTGAGTGTCGTGTTTCTTTTACGAAAAATGTCATGGATATGAAGATGATAGAGATCCTCACGGAGCTGACTAACAAAATGAATGATTATCCGGTGATCCTTTCTTGCCATTATGATTATTATTATTAGCCGTGGTGTGAGTTTGTGGGCGATGAGAAGATGAGCACAACAAGTAAGAGTAAGCAAAGATGTGGTTCCATTTTTGTACCTGTCGCGATATCAAACATTATCTAGGTAGTAAGTAGGCAGGCTCCTTTGAGTGAAGAGGTCTCATCTGAACGAAGAATAGGTATGGCAGGAATAGAATTCAAGACGTCGAGTTTGACAGTAAAACAAAGGATTGTTATCAAAAATAACTGATACTCTAGATCCATCTGTTTAGATGATTTAGGATGTAGTAATAAGTCAAACACTTATTACTTGCATTGTGTGGTTTGTAGGTAGGTAGGAAGAGGAAGGGAGGAAAGTTGTGCACAGAATTATTGTTCGGACATTGTATTGTACCGAGTGTGGGAAGCTTATCGATAAACGATAGAAATATGTACTGAACCTAGGTATTCTTAACTCTTATTCTTAACTCTTATTAGACTTCGCCGTGAGAATGTTTCTAAAACATATCAAAAACATATCAGATAATAGACAATAGACAATACGTAAGTCATCCTGGGCTTGACCGTTTAAATATCGGACATCGATTTTCCCTTTTCTATTTCTAGTTTTATTTTAAACCATGGTGGAGTGGATGGAGTCGGAGATCCTCTCTTCTTCTCCTGGAAATCTATTTTGAGAAAAAGTAAATGTCAAATGTAAATCATATTTATGTGGAGAGCATACCAAGAGAAGACACTCACAGGCGTACTCTTTGAATATTTGCCTTCTCAGTGGATACAGTACGAGGTCACTCATCAATCATGTTACTCCGTAGGTTGTGTCACCATTGCCCCCTTTGCTTCCGTACCCCCTTCATCGCCACCGAAAGCGGTTCTTGCTGGATTCAACAACTTTGCCATTGCTTCTCAACCAGAGAAACCAAACATCATGATCCCGTATGCAACGACTGTAGTAATATTGGTATACTCCCGTACTGAAACTCCGGAATAGGTCCAGATTGCGGCCAAGATTTACCCCATAAATTCCATAATCCAATATTATCATCATTATGATGGTTTGTTCCCAATCGCTCTGTTCCCATGGTCAATCATCACCGATTTCTCCCACACAAGCGATATTGACGCCAATAGCGTCTCAGCTATTGAAATGTTCCAGGTCTCAGACGGACTATTTCCATTTTTCAAAGGGCTGCTGTAAGGCTATGATGGGGTTTTATCGATACTAGCAAATTGATCATCACGGAGAATTTATTGAAATAGATAGATACAGATGTATAGTAGGAAGTATAAATTAGATAACTCGATGAGATCAGTCACTTAAAAAGGACTAAGGGGGAAAATATATTATTCAAAGTAACAATAAACTAACAAGTTAACTAATAACAAACTAATAATAAACTAATAATAAACTAATAATAAACTAATAATAAACTAACAATAAACTTGCAATAAACTCACATTAAACTTACAATAATTCCTATAATAAGAACAAGCCACCATAGACTTATTACTCCGTACTCGTCCCATCCCCAATGCCCATCCCCTTGAAACATCCAATCGTCTAGAGTAGTTTGGAATAGTCGTGAATAATCTTGAATAATCTTGAATTATCTTGAATTATCTTGAATAATCTTGAATAATCTTGAATAATCTTGTCTTTTCTTGTCAAATCTATTCGCTCAAGCGGTGTGATATTCATCAAGAACCCTTGCATAGGCGCCTTAACCATGTTCACGTCTCGAGCTGACCCTTTTTCCTTTTTCAACTCACTCCGATAGTCCCGAGATCCCAGATTCAGCCCAAAGTTGTCACTAGTAGTATCGTATCTTCTCTTGACTAGATACTCCCAATTCGCTACCTTCACCACTCTACTGCGTATTCGACTCATCAAGATTCAAAATCAGGTCCTACTCAAAATTATGCCGACCGACTCCCGTACGGCCGGTAAGTCCTCGCTCTTTTCCAATTCACCTCGGATAATCCTTCACGCAGCGCTTCAAGGAGGCACAAGAACCATTGAATCCTTATATGGGTCTATGAGGCTAGTCTTAGGTTTGATAACCCCATCCAGGATGCTTGTTGACCTGTCATCCTGTCGTACGTGGAAATCGATGAAATCTTTCTATTTGCTTAGTCCAATTTTTCCTCCTGCACTGCAAGGTCCTCGTCACATCGTTTCTATAAACATCGCGCCTATTCTCACAAGCACAATGCATGACAGATGACTAGACTGTGCTTAAACTTAAACTCTTCCCACCATTTATCATTTATCTATCTATTTTCCTTGGCCTGAGTAAAAGGTCTTGTGGATATATACTACTCCGTACATATAAGTCGCGGCACGGTCTCTGTTGGTTCTATCTGAGGGGTACTTGCCTTGATAGTTATTCATATCTTTTTTCCGCTACTTGTTTACGCCTTACGAAATTACGAAATCATCTGACGAATTTTACGACTACGCCTTGGTTCGTTAGATTTAGATACATTATATCTAAGATATCTAGGCCACCTGGGACCTTTTTGTGACCCTCAAGTCAAAGTCTCGATTCTAAAGACACCCAACGTTCATATATCCTCTTCTACCACAGACCAGAACACAGTCAAGCAACAGTTTACTAAGAATCCTATCATTTTTCCGATTATGATGCTGGCACCTGTTCAAGAGTGCTCCTCGATAGTCATGTCTTTCCCTCCTCGACATTCATCGCCACCAAAGAGGCCGAAGTTGTCTTTACAGATCAAGACCCCATCTGCTCCTCAAACCATTGGAAAGTCCTCGACAGCATTAAAATCGGATATCAATCCGTCATCACCAACGGCACTTAATACACTTTCAAATGCATACGCAACAGCAATTGATAATTCTTCCCCTCAAATTTCGAAGCCGATGACCTCCGCAGCCAGACCATCCTTGAGAATTCAACCCATGCCTTCACGATTACAAACAACACCGCTTCAAACGAATATAAGTGCAGAAGATGGGTATATACATCCATCGGAGCGCACTGCAACACCTGGACCATTTGCGATATCATATCCGGATACACCAAGTTCAGCCCGTCCCAAGGATAGCCCTACTTTTACATTCACCCCTCCACATTCAGCTGGAGGCTCTAATAAGATGTATGCCTTTTCATCGCAAGTTTCAAACAGCGCATCACCGCGAAGCATGAGGCGACATACACCATATACACATCCCAAATCACTCCATAGTATTCTTCGCAACTCACCACTGCCACCTCCTAGCTCAGTAGTACCTGCGACACCAAATACCGCAAGTCGAATAGCAATGAAATTAGCAAACAGGGGCACGAAGAGGGTAGAATACGACGATCCTCTAACGCAAACGATCACAACGAATAAATACGTAAAATCGCACATTGATCTCCTCTCCGAGGACTCCCCTCATTCCGCAACTGATCCAGAATTTGCCATTCTAGACACTCTCGACACAACCATGAAATACACGGGTGATGAAACGCGGGACGGTGGTCAGACACCAGGTCCATTTGAAGAAATGCGACGAAGGATGGCAGAAAGTGGCTTAGAAACACCCGCTTCTCGAAAGCGGAAGCGCAAGGATAAGAAGAGAAAGTGGAGATGGACCATAGGAGATGGAGAGGATAGTGATGCGCAGACAACGCCCACGACTGCTATGGAAAGAACACCAATTACATCGATTTGGAGGGGTACAGAAACTATTAATACGGATTCAATAGTGAATGGGAATGGAGACGGGATGGAAACTATTTCAACAGGTGGAAACAATGTTCCATCGGATGAAGCGATCGATAGTGAGAGAATTTGTTTAGGAAATTATGAGGGGGGAGAGGGGGGGATAGATGATCGTGATAGGCGAGGACAATCCGTGGATTTCTTTACCGATTCAGAAATGTCAGAAGAGGGTAGTGAAAGACCTGGCACATCACATTCTCTTTAGGTTTCGATGATTGCCACTACAAGGGTTATTCCATGAGGCTCAGTCCCGTCTCATCTGCTTGGCATACCGGCACTCGTATAGAAAAGAGGGGTGTATACTATATACTATATACTATATGACTAGATGACTCGACTATGTGGACTTATCATCGTATAGTTAGTTTGGTGGTTGTGGAATAGAATAGGACTGTGGGTCTAATTTCTAATTATATCTAATATTCATTCGTGTACGATATGCTATTGATTTATTGATTTATCGATTTATTGCATCTTTATTTAGATTATGATTTGTATTTATTTATCTTACCACACAACAAGATTACAAACAGTTGATTTTTAGAGAACTTGTCCGCACATTTATAGATTTGAATGAGTTTCTTACTACATCTGTTCAATAGAATATTTTTAATAATCATAAAATATTATATCACGTACTTTTCTCTTATACAACAGTATCGTATTTATCCATCTAAACCTAATCCAGCGACCATCGATCCATCTTTTACATCTTATACCCCTTGCATACACCTATTTCCTTCTCTACTCTACTGAGATAAAATAACAAATACATAAATATGATATCATTTGTAGATGTTGATTTACGAGACACAAATCCACTCAATCCCCATCCGCAGGTTATTCTCTTATACCCCCGCGAGTTGCAACCCATATATCTTGAGATCATAGGGCAAAGCAAGTGCTCACGAGATCAAATACTCTTGACTGTTCCCAACCAATAGAAATCAATACATACACACACCAGCAGAAAATTCGTAAAAGTCTTAGAATTTTCGACCGGTGCAGTCAATATGCTAAGTGTGCGCTTTAGATGTGAGTAATTTCTGTTTCAGAGAATATGGGTTGAGATCACGTTGGGCGTTGAGGGTGTGGTTTAGGGGATGGAGAGAGTCACTAGAGAGGCAGTTTCTTGCTATGCTTGTGGGTTGAGGAAAGGTATATTAGGGATGGAGGGATGGAGGGATGGATGGTAGTTTCTGATTTATCGTCATGTACATTTGAATATTGTCTCTAGGCTTTCTGGCTTCATACATTCGAAGTTCTTTTGCGTTTGTTTGAGTTTGAATTTTCCTGCGTTTTTCATCTCCATACGTTCTTTGCGTCGTTAGACTTTATTGTAATTATCGTCTTTTCACTGTAGCATCACCGCCACTATGCCCTTCGACCTCGAATCCCAGGGCCCCACCACCCTGCAACTCTCCCCTATAAATCATACCACCAACCCCGATCATCTCCTCCTCCCAACCCCCACCTCCCGTCTTACCGCGCACTTCTCAACAAGCACCTACGCCCCCAACACCCTTCTCCTCTCCACCTCCACCTCCCTCTTCCCCGACAAACCATCTCTCGGGCCCATCCCCCCCGTCATAAAATCCCGCAACGGAAATCTCTTCTGGGCAGACGAAGCCTGCGTTCGTCGTGTCGGTCTCACTTTACACGAAGCACGTCTATTTCTACAGTTACAGAATGGAAATTATAATTACCGGGAATATGTGGAAATGTTCCATAGTTTCGGAGAAGAAAAGAAGCATTTGGAGGAAAGACTCAAGGAGTTACAATGGTGGAGAATGGAGAGGAGGAGGGTTTGGGAGAAGAGGGTAGAGTGGTTGGGAAGGTTAGAGGAACCGAGACTTTGGTTGCTCTATTTGATGGCAAGGAGGAGGAGGATTTTGTTGGTAGCTTGCAGGAGGGTTTTGAAGAGGTTGAGGGAGAAGAGGGATGCGAGGTTGAAGGGACAGGTAGTGGGAGAGGAGATGGAGACGGGCGAGGAAGAGGGGCGGGAATCGCAGAGGAATTCCCAGGCTCTGACGATTGCTTGCTCAATGGTTTCGAGGGGTTCGCAGACGTCACGGGAAAAAGAATTCAAGCCGGAGAAATCATGTCCAATGAGATCAGAAGGCACACAAACCGGGGATTTAGCTCTGTCAAAACCTGAACCCTCTTCAAACATAACTTCTCATCCCACTTGTCGCCCAGCAAGCACACATTCGCGTCATTCACACTCCCATACCTGTCCCGTCTTTGCACATCCCTACTCCGCAACTTCTTCATCAATTCAAAGCCTCACCTCGCTCTTCCTTCCCCCACAAACGCCCTACCTAATCCTCGGTTACTTCCCCACCACCTCCCTCGATCCACACGAAACCTATTTACCCTTACCCACCCCAACAACACTCTTCTCCTCACTCCATCGTGCCGAGCACTCTCTTCGGGGATATCGAAGGTTTTTCTCTCTTAAATCTCTCGCCGGCTTCGGATTGTACAAGTGTGATATTGAAAAGGGAGCACATGTCAAGGTAATGTTGAGGGAAGAGGAGAAAATGATATTGAGGAGATTTTATGCGGCTTATAAGGGGAAGCTGGTTAGAGGGCTACCTGGTTTTGCGACAGAAGAGTGGGATGAGGATGTTGGAGAGGCTTGGATGAAGTGGGTGGGAAGCAATTTGAATGGGGGGAAGGAGGAGACTGGAGAGGAAGCGGGGGGTCCTTTGGAGGGAAGATGGAGTTTGGAGTTGGTTTATGATTGGTGAATCTCATTCTATCTTGGGCTTCGTACAGACTTGCTAATATGCGACAGGTGTCCATATCGACTCAGCGCCGTCGTAATAACTCCATTGCTTCTTAGTTTGATAGTAGGAGTTTGGTATATGCGATCAAATGGGGATGTAATCACAGCTTGGACCTTGGCATTGTACATTGTGACGGCTGCTGCGGCAATAGTTGCGCTGTTGGGAATAATTGGTAGTTTGAAGGACGTTTAAAGGTTGATGCTGTGGGAGTTTAGTGTATAGTATTTACCTTGGAATTTGTTTCACATGTGCTTCTGATTCACTGGGATGTGGGGAGTAATATTGAGAAAGCTCACAACGGCATTCTTGGGTTTTATTTGGGATTTGATCGGAATTTTCAACGGGTGTCAAAAGGGAAGATATTAGGTTTTGTGGGTCGCGCTGTTTGAGATGACATCAGGCGTAACAAAAAGCAACATTTCAAACAGGAGGGACTCAATATTTGTGTTTGTGATACTTCAACGATGCAATAAAAGTCACTGACATGGAGAATCTCTTTTATATATGTAACTTAAAGAGTGTCGCTCTTCATTATAAATGTCACGCTACATTGACATGCTGCTATGTTGACATAAAAATCCTGCTTCGAGACCTACTCTGTACTCGAACAATATCTTACATAATACAACATATACCTACACCGCAAATTCTCCGCTATGAACCCATGCAATGGTACTTTTCCTAATACTCCAAAGCTCCGTTGATAACAAACATGTACACTCTCCCTTCCATGATCGTAGGTCGCCATAAGCTTTGCGGAGTTCCAAAACCAAAAACCAGACTAAATCAAACAAACTTCTTCCTCTCAATCTCCACTTGAGATCTAGTTCCTCTTTCAATACGCAGGATTCTCTCAAATATATTAACCACAAACCATTGCACAGCCAAGATCCAAATTCTCAAGACCAAGTCGCTCAGTCCAAGTACAGGACGCTTGCCTCGACTAAATGTACTATCTTTGAACTGGAATGGAAGATGGGCACCTAGATGATCCATTGCCACCTTTATCCCACTACTGAAGCCATCTTCGTGAAATCCATATTTAGTCCATGCTCCACAATACGATATACCTCTCGTGTTTTGTATCTCCGGGAGTTGAGATTGAGAGGTAATAGCACGAGTGTTATAAAGCGGATGACGATATGTGTACGTACTGTGCGTGAATTCTGGTTTCGGTGGAAATAGGGGATTAAGTGTGACGAGGACATGGCCAAACTTGGAGGTTGGAATATGCTGGAGAATATTCATGTTATACGTTAAGCAAACTTGGTCAACATTTCTAGATTTCGAGGTGGAAGTATTAGAAGAGGCGGTGATGTAGTTCCAAGCAGACCATGCTTCTCTGTTTTGAGGCATGAGAGCGAGATCGGAGTGAAGGACAGCCGTATTTTTTGAGGTCTGAAATCCAGTCAGGATACGACGTTCGGCGGCCGTGGAAGTTGATCGAACTAGGTTATATGCAGCGTCTCCATGAGTAGCTATTATAACGTGATCAAACACCTCTTCCTTGCCATTCTCGAGACATAGGCGCACACGATTGTCGTCGTCATTACGTATTGACTCGACGGGGGTCGAGAGGAATATATGATTAGGAGGAAAGCCTTTCATCACGGCATCAAGGTAAGTTTTGGCGCCGTTTTTTACCGTTAGCCATTCAGGGCGAGTAGCAACTGTACTTAATAGATGATGATTCCACCTGAACGTGTTAGCAATGAAAGAGCTTGGGCTCCGAAATTCAGACTCACATGAATCGGACCAAAGTAACGGCAGGGAATTCTAGAGAACATTTATCCGGACTTGTACTCCATACCGCTGCCGTCATTGGGATAAGGTAATCATCTCTGAACGCATCGGAATATCCTTCCCTATCCAAATATTGACCGATAGTTTCTTGCTTTTCCGCATGATGCGTGTTCTTTGAACTTCCACTCCCATTCACAAAGTCCTCACTATTCTCGTCATCTTTGAGTAAGTCTAAAGCAAACTGGTTGAAACGTATGATATCAAATATCATTCTCCACATCCGTAATGAGAAGAGGTTCTTTCGTTGTGCGAACACTGACGAGAGTGATGTTCCGGACCATTCGAATAACCCCTTGTCTCGAGAGACTCCAAAGGTCATTTCAGTAGGGACGGTAGGAACATTGAGAGCATTGAGGAAAGCTATGAAGTTTGCTATATGTATTTTGATTTAGCCCATACATCTCTTGAAAGCTGCGTGGCGGAAAAAGTCGGGCAGAGCAATAACTTACGATAGGTAGCAGTATTCAAGACTATAAAACCTGTATCAACTGGAGTGGTTTTGCCATTGTGATGATATTTGACAGTATTTGTATGTCCTCCCAGTCGACCCGCAGCTTCATAAATATAAACATCGTGATGGGTGCGATTCAAAGCCCAAAGAGCACCTATTCCTGCACATCCACTTCCGATGATAGCGACTTTCTTTCTAGGAAATCGTTCTGTTAGGTTGGCAGACATGATTTATGAAAAAAGAAGTGAGGGATGGGAAGAAATGGAATCAAGTCAATGGACAATTGAGAGATAGAGAATGGAATATTCACATGTCAGTACTAAGCGGTTTTTCTTGAGTGGCGGGGGAGGCTGCAGCTGAAGCGGTAGTAGCAGTAGTATTGGGAGTATCGGGCATAGTGTAACGGGGAGAATTGATGGACGATGATGACATTGTTTGGCTCTTCTGACAATCAAATGTGATGAATAGATGAAGATTGCGTGTCTTTGAATATTACAAAGGTATTTGAATGAAAATGAATGAGGAGTAACCGAAAGAGCAATGCTACTCGAATGAGTGTGTTGAGTGTGTTGATATTGATAAAACGGAAATGGGTACCAAGTATGTTTGGTTTGTACTGTTGTTGAAAAGAGAAAAGGAAAGAAAAGTTAAAATATCAGGTGGATGCTTAGATATTCTTCCTCTGCATCTTCATCTTCCCTTCCTTCTTCCTCTTTACCTCTTTCAACCTCTCTCGAGCCCCATTTCATCCGTGCTCAAGCTTCATTCACGATGCACGAAACTTGGTGGGATGGATGTGAAGATCAAAAATAAAAAGTGCAGTAATTAAGGTTGAGGTACCCTTGTCGATTCAGGAACGGGACTTTTGGCTGATCGGCCTTTGTTGATACCGATAGATAGGTAGATAAGGCCGTGGTACGTACTCCCTCGGTACATTTCATTTTCTCACATGAAGAGGAGGGAGCGATGTATTGAAACATTACTAATTATCAATCCTTCTGTCAGCCACCAGCCACAACTCACTCATGACTTAGCCACATTCCTGATAAGGTTAAGGCTGTGCAGTGTGTCCACCGTCTGTGACTGCTGTCATTGTTTTATTAGACGTCGCAACTTTCCGGTTCCCCTTCCTTGAGTTGTCAATGCAATCAATGATAAACATTAAACCTTAACAATAATCAAAAACACCATCCACCCAGATCTCACAAATACCCTCTCAAGAATATTCACATTTTTCTTGAATATTTTGCTTAATTCAACCGGCATTCCTTTTTCGTTGTAACATTATCTTGAAAGAAAAAAGCTATCCATTGTCTGTTTGTCTTATATCATAAACCGTCCTTCATTCGTTATTCATCCATGCTTCCGTGAGTCTGTGAGATAACCACATTGACCCTGAACCGAGGAAAGAAGGGCATTACCTTGCTCCGCGTTGCATCACTGCATTACTACATTACTGCTTTGCGACACCAGTAAGAAGCCATCGCTCATCAACAACCATTCTTTATAATAGCCAATACTCACTCCTCTGGAAAACTATCACATTCGCCCCATACATTCCATCGTCTGCCGCCTGTCAACATGTCCAACCCTCTCGACACCGATGCAGGCTCGGAGCTCTTTAGCAGTTACGAAGCAGAGCTCAAACTGGTTCAAGCCGATTTAAACCAAAAGTTGGATCAAATCCCTGATCTCACTGGAGAACCTCGTAAAGCTGCCATTAGTCAAGCGGAAAGAGCGTTGGAAGAGGCAAATGAGTTGGTATGTTCAAGGATGAAATGGCGGTTATCTAGTACTTACACTTATCTAGCTGGATCAAATGCGACTCGAGAAACAAAATATCCCCTCAGCAACCCGTACCAAAGTCAACCAACGATTTCGAAATCATGAATCGGACGTGGATGTATCCAAGAGGAAATTAAAAACTTTAGAGAGCGATAGATCTGCTCTATTTGGTTCACGTTATTCCGACAATCCAAATGATGTTCAACTCGAACAAAGGCAACAACTTCTATCGGGGACGGACAGATTGGACCGAAGCTCACAGAGATTGAAGGCTAGCCAGGCATTGGCAAATGAGACAGAGGCTATTGGTGCTAGTACACTCGCAGATTTACATAGACAGAGAGAGACCATTCAACATACGCATGATACCTTGCTACAGAGCGAAGGATTCGTCGATAGGAGCGTTAAGACGTTGAGGGGGATGTCTCGTAGGTAAATCGTCCCTAGCTCCCCTCACAACTGCCGGGGATGTAACGCTGACCAGCCTCTTTTAGGATGGCTACCAATCGGATAATCACCGTGGCCATTATTACAGTCTTGATTCTTCTTATTATTGCTGTTATTGTTAGCAAGTTCAGATGAAGATTTCTTGCTTTTGCGCGGGGCGTTCTTCGGTATTCGGTTCTCAGATACACTTTGCCATAGGCTGATTTCTAATACAACTTTGTACCATTGGTTTACATTAAAAAGCTTTCAGAGCTGCCATTTGCGTAAGGCAGAGGTGACTGGTTTTCTTCGAGTCCTCCATGAGTCCCGAATTCACTGGAAAGCGGTCCGAAATACATCTGTTGCATGGTTCGGGTAAGTGCATGGTATGTAGTGAACATATGATGATATTATCTTCAATCATTCCCCAATGCATTTTTGCCAGCTCATGTGCATATGTTGCTGCAGTCAGCGATTTCCTCTCCAGCGCCGGGACTGTGCTCATGCTTTCTACCTGTTGTGTTGAACCTTTACCTATCGTTTTCGGGTGAAGCGGATACCGATGCAAATCTCCTCTGCATATTACGAATCACAAACATATGATCTAACGAATACCGTGCAATTGAACATGTGCGGGCACCCATCCCAACTGTTCTTGATGGGCGCCAACTATCTGAGATGAGAAATCATGGCACCATAGCTACATATCTATCCTTGCTTCATGTGGTCTTTCTGCCAATTAGTATTGACAAAATGTATTCACCCGTCATAGTTTTCTCGCTACTAGTGGAGTGTTGCACAAATAGGTCCTAAAGCAATACCGATAGGATTTCTTGTGACCATATATGCACCTTTTTGTACTACAATTCTATCTACCGACGACCTACCCTCGTATGTGTACCCCATAAAATCCAAATTTCTATGATGCTCAACTGACGTCGGCATACACTGAGACCATGTAAGCTATAAAAGATGCTAGACTTTCGATTGGATCGCTCGCGCATAAAACGTGGAGATCAGCATTGTCACATCATAGCTAAGCCTTCAAAAAAGAGTGCTCGATTGTTGACAGGGGGCTTTCTAATATTGCCGTTTGTTGGGGCTGCTGTCCTCGCTCTGTCGGTGACTATAGTATGCAGCCATGTCTTTATATTTCCTCCATTCTCATCAATCCGCACTTCCCCAATTCCTTCGCGTCTTCAAATTCCAATTCTGATCATTTTCATTGAATTAAGCCTTCTTCAACATGTTGTCCCCTGATATCAGCCAGATCAACGTGGTAGCTATTCTTGGATCTTCAATTCTTGTTTACTGCATCTTGGGCGTTGTTTATCGTCTCTACTTCCACCCGTTATCCAAATTCCCGGGCCCTAAATTGCCTGCAGCAACTCAATGGTCGGAGTTTTATTATGAATGCCTACAATCGGGTCAATATTTCATCAAGATTGCACAATGGCACGAACATTATGGTAAGTCATTGGCCAAATGATGCTTCCAGGTGTCATTAATAGTCATGCTGATTACTTTGCTCAAGGTCCAATTATTAGAATCGGACCAAGTGAGCTTCATATCGATGACCCGGACTACTACAATACTCTATTCTCGTATGGTGGTGTGAGGAACAAAGATCCTTTCTACACAGCACAGTTCAATACGCCAGATACTGGATTTGGCTCTGTGGATCACTATGTTCATCGAATGAGAAGGTCTGCCCTTAACCCATTCTTCTCCAAAGCTTCGATCGATCGTCTATCCCCCATGTTAATCGCTATGGTAAGCCTACTATTCATTACGGCGTTGCCATTGGAGCTTCCACCTCTTTCTGGTGATCGTTCTATTGGTTCCTTCATTTCCATAAAAGCCAAGCAACTACTGTGGACCGGTCTTGACACTCATGTGACTTTACAGGTCGAGAAACTCTCCTCACGCCTCGAAGAGTTTCGTAGCACGGACAAGCCACTCACAATTCGCCTTCCCTTTCAGTGTTACACCGCAGATATTATGACACTTTACGCAACTAACAGGTGTTGGCATTATCTCGACGTAATCCGCTCCCCCTTTCCTTTGATAGTATCTCTAATCCAATCTTATAGACGCCAGATTTTAGCCCTTCTTGGGCGGAGACATTTGTCGCTTTAGCCATTGCAGGAAAATGGTGTAAATTCTTTCCCAAACTGTATACGCTATTAGAATATACGCCTCGCTGGATGCTAAAAAGATATGCTCCAGGTCTCATTCTCACGCTTGATCACCATGATGTACACGATCTTTCCTTTCACCCTTCTCCTTCCCTTTCCACCGTTCCTACACGCTAACATGAATCCCCTGCACAGAAAATCCGCACACAAATCAAAGAGATCCTCTCTGGTTCCATCCTCCCAGTCGACGCCCCAATCGACGGTTTTCCACGTACTATATTCCATAATTTCCTCTACTCTTCTTTACCAGAAAGTGAAAAGAGATTCGAAAACATGAGTCAAGAGGCTATTAATATTATAAACGCGGGTACGGATACGGTTGCTAATACGCTGATGACTTTGGTGTATTATCTTGCTGATGATAGAGCAAGATGCGAGAAGTTGAGGGATGAACTGAGAGGTGCGGGGTTGGGTAGAGGAGAGGGGGGTAAAGGGGGTAATAAGAGAGTTGAATTGGAAATGGTGGAGAGATTGGTTTATTTGGTGAGTGTACTGGT